TTTTTTTGGCCAGCTAACAGAGATCCCATAGCAAAAATCCTGGGCGTGGACTATAGTGAAATGAAAGAAGACTCAGTTGCATTAAATTTTCTTGATAAAATTACCAAAGATGATCATCCTGCAAATGAGGTTAAGAGTAAGGTTGGCAGGCTGCTTAAGCAACTGGACCTGCACCTCCTCAACCATACTCTAAAACACATTTCACTGTGAGTCTTAAAAAAAACAAACTATAAATGGTGATTTAACATTTTATTGGAATAAATTTTAATGTATTACATGTATGTTTCTAGTTCTCAAAATTAAAATTTGCAGTTGACATGCTTAAAACATCCTGAGGTTTCATCTAATTCTGGAGACATCAAGTGGCTTTGCTATTTTCAATGCCTCCTAAGATTAATGGACAAATTATTAAATTATACTGCAAATGTTACATCGAGTTGTAAGGTTTAAAACTCATTCATTTTTTTTTCCTGCTCTTTCCTAGTATTACAGCATTATCATTACAAAGTGAATATTTAAATGAGTGCATTCAGTATTGCATTAAACTTGAGTCCCAGTCCCTTGATATTTTGACAGTCTTAAAGGTTAATAGTATGGCTAACACAAGCTTCATTGTTTGTTCTACAATTTTACTGTTTTAATTACATAAAAAAAGATATCCCCCTGGAATGCAAACTAGTACAACCACTATGGAAAACTGTTTGGAGGTTCCTCAAACTGCTAAACATGGAGCTTCCCTGTGACCCAGCAATCCCACTCCTAGGTATCTACCCAAAAGACACAAAAACACTGATTCAAAAAGATACCTGCACCCCCATGTTTATTGCTGCTTTATTTATAATTGGAAAAACATGGAAGCAGCCCAAATGCCCAAAAGTAGATGACTGGATAAAAAAGATGTGGTACATGTATACAATGGAATATTACTCAGCAACCAAAAAAAAATACACATGTCTTTTGCAGCAACTTGGATGGAGCTGGAAAAGATCATGCTTAGTGAGATAAGCCAGAAAGAGAAAGAAAAATACTGGATGGTTTCACTCATAACAGGAGTATAATGGGCCAGGCGAGAAAATAACAAAAATAATGAACAACCATATACCAGAGACATTTTGCAGGGGTGGAGTGGGGAATGGGATCAAAAACGGGGTGGGGGGGGAGAGAAGTGCACGGGATTATGGTAGTGGCACACGGGTGACTTGGTGATGGGAAACCCGCGGGGATTACAACTGAGATGGAAAAAAATGTATAAAACTGTTATTAAAAAAAAAAAAAAAAAGATATCCCCCCTGAATGTTTTCATATATTTCCTGAGAATTCTGTCTTAAAGTACTTGAAATACATTTCTAAATGTTTATTTCAGAATAATACGTTTAAATCCATCACCTGTTAAAAACGACATAGAGATGCTCCAGAGTTGCTCAGGAAAAGGGGAGCAAACGGTCCTGGAATCAATCGAATATACCTCAAGTTGGTATCTTCTCAGATTCATTTTATATTACGTTTATCTGTAATTATGTTCTCAAGCTACTTTGATCACTACATTAGAATGAAACATTTGATAATATGAAAGTTTAAGACTTGATCTTTTTTTGAAGAAATATGTTTTACAAAACTTTAGGTTAAGGAGCTCCTTTTAATTGATTGATAATTGGTTTCAGATTATGAATTTTCAAATGGATGTCGAGCCCCACCTTGGAGACAGATCCATGGGGAAATGTGTTACGTGCTGGTGAAACCACACGATGTCGAGACACTGTGCATTACTTGTAGTTCAGAAGGAGTGTTTTTAAATGGTGTAAGTAAAAAGCAGTATGACTATGGTGCTTAGCTCAGAACCCACAAATGCAGGCCTGCCTCCAGGACTGGAGCCCAGTGACCATAGAAAATTATTCTGTCTGTGGGATTCAGGCAGATCACTTTACTATATGTTTGCTGAGCAAATCCAAAACTATCCCAGAACAAGGCCCATTATTCCCCACTGTAGGCCCTTGAGTTAATCTTCTAAGAAACGAGCCATTCTGCTACTTAATAAAGTGAAAGCCTCTTAACATCATCAGTTCATTAATTTGTCATGCTATTATTATAGGAAAGAAAAGGCAAAAAAAAAAAAAGAAGAAGAAAGAAATGCAACTGTGAAGTAAAGCAGAAAGCAGTGACTGTAAGCTGTCATGCTAAGACTTGAGGAGACAGATGGAAAGACGATGGGGGGAGGGGTTTCCAAACGTGGAAGCATGAAAGAAGTGCCTTTTGAAGCCAGCCCCTGAAAGTCTAGGGAGGTGACAGGGCTGGGGTGAGGGTATCTTAAGATGTCAATGGAAAGACCCCACCCCGCCTCACCACCACGGAACTAGGCCCAAGACCTCTGAGGAATGTTTCTTCTAGGCTGATCCATTCAGAGCTCAGGTGGTGTCTGTGATTCTGGGGCCCAGATGTCTGGACAGTGGACACTGTCCAGGAGTCCTCAGGAACTCCGAGACGCATCTTTGTAAACACAAATGACTGAGCCTTGATGGGTGGTTGATAGTGTCTCTGAGGTGCTGTGATAGACCGGTTTCTGGGAGTGTAGGACCCTGGAAATTGGAACCAACTGTTGCTACTGGAAGCAACTGCCACCGCCAGGGGTGAAGGGTCACTGCTGTGGTGACTCAGTAGGACACTAGACAAATAGGAGGGAGCGTGGCTTTCTTGCCTCTTCCAGACGTCCTCTCACTTTTCTGCTGACTGAAGACAACCTCGCCTGGCAAAAGAAAAGCACACAAAACATAGTGTGCACGGTAGGCTTTGAGTCCAGAGATAAATGGCACCTCGCCTTCAGAATATTTGGATTAAAAAACACAATTTTAGTCTCGCCTATTCACTGAATCTAGGTAGGAGCTCAGCTGTCTCTTCTGCAATACCCTGTCCTCGGTAGGTATGGCCAGTGTGAATGCTGGCACTCACCCCCAGAATTCTGCAGGGCACAAGTCCTCGCAGGGAAACATTTGGAGAGTCGTTGCGTCTTGACTTGGGTGGGCGCCTGCATGCCAGGGGCATTTTCTAGATGACTCCTGACATACTTTTGGTGTTTTTCTTAGTGACCCAACACTTGGCATGTTTCTGCATGCAGGGCAGAAACAACCTAACTATGATTTTGCATTTAGTTTGTTTTGATGCTTTAGGGAAGTGAAATCTCCATTTAGGAAATAAGAGATGAAGAAAAGGAATGATTTTCTTTGACCTTACAAATGGGACATGGAGCCTTTGTTTCTGCTAAAAGCTATTGATCTACATACAACTTTGACATGAGGACATCTAAATTTACCTCTCAATTTAAAAAGTGAAAGGCAAGGAACATGAAACTGTATGTGACTGTCACGGCCCACAAAATGGTCTAGGGCCTCGTAGTCTGTCTCGTGGCCCCACAACACTGGTGGATGAGCGGGGCGTGAGCCAGCTGCTGTGCACACTGCTTCACCCACTGGAAATCAGAGGGATGGACTGAGCGGTCCTGCTCCCAAACCCGAGAAAGGTCCCTTGAGACCCTCTAGTCAAGATTGAAAAGAGGACGCCCCAGACATGAGTGAAGATAGGCAAGGGGAGTCAGTGTTCATTGTTGAGCAGAGTAGGGGATCAAGAGCTCTAAGGCTGCCTCTCTGGGTGTGAGGGACTCCCCGGGGTGTCAAAGAGAGTGGACTTGGGGAGAGCCCATTGTTGCTAGCTGTGAGGACCCACCAGCTGCAGCTCAGTGCTGTGCAGGGCTCCCCAGCATCTCCAAAGCAAACACCTCACGGAGACTCTGTGTCTGCAGCTGCCCTGCAAACCCAGCTGGTCTCAAGATCTGACGCTTCTCTCCCGGGTCTGCACCTCCCTTTTTTTCCCATAGCAGCCAACCTGATAAGCTGCGGAAAGATAGCTCAGAGAAGGTAAAAACAACAAGGAACCAAGGAAGCTTAAGGCAGTAGGTGTTCAGGCCTCAGAGTCATCAGGATTTTAACCTCTTGTTTACCTGCCCAGCGGAGCAGCAAAATTCTCGCAGCATCTTTGTCCTTGAGTCCTGACTTGTCCTTGTCCTGAAATCAGACAAGACTAGAAAAATGAACATGTTTGAAGCCTCACACTGGTATAATATTACAGTGTTATATAATAGTTAAGAGGGCATCGTGGAGATGGGAGAGAGAAGGAAAATAAAGGGGAACAGACAAAAGGGACAGGGACAGAGGCTTTTAGAACATGGAGAGACCGAGGGTCACTAAGGATCATAACCCTAGAAAATAAGCCTATAGTAGCCATGTGCCACACCAAACAAGAGCAGAGAGTTAAAAGCAGAAACGGGCTTTTTCTTGGTGAAATTCTAATCTCAAGGCCTTTTATGACTTCATCAGAGGCTCTTGAAGTCATAATATATTTTCATATTAGAGGATTGCAGAAGGAGGGAAGTTCTCACTACTTTTCTGAGCAATGGAATCACGTATGTGAAGGAGGGACTCAGTAAAGGCTTGCTGAATGAACGGATGAATGGCTGGATGAATAATATGGGGGAAGGGCTTTGCCTGAATCTTGCATGATTAACAGCTACCACATGGATCTTTAGAGAACAGATGTGCTTGTGCTGTGATCTATTGATTAGAGTTCTGTGCTGCTATTATGTTAATAATCGCAACAACTTTTTCTCCCAAAGGGCAAAACAGACAAGGATGGGGAAATTAATTATGAGAGAAAAGGTGAAATTTATAAAGACCTTGTTACATTTTTAAAAGACAAATCAGCAAAATTTTCAGAAAACATGTCCATACAGGTAAGTTTTAATCCTCTCTTTTTGATTTTCATCATGCATTATTGACTACAACTTTGTGCTCTCCATTTATTTAGGTCTTAATGACTCATCAGTATTCTGTAACTTTAAGTTAAGTGACATCTTACACATCTCTTGTGAAAACTATCTAATTATTTCACATTTGGGGGATATTGTTAATGATATTTTAAAAATTTCGATTTCTGACTTATGGCTACTATATAAAAATACACTTGGTTTTTATATATTGATTTTATATTCTGAAATCTGGCTAAATCTCATACTAGTGGTGTGATATGTATATGTCAGAGGTTTTTCTGTGTAATCCTATGTTGTGAATAAAATCAGTTTCCATGCAATTCTGCGTTTTTGGGTGGAGTGTCACAAATGTGGCTTGAAATTTGTGGTTTTTGGTATTGAATTCTTCTGTTTCTTTGCTGATTTTCCTATCAGCTGTTGAGAGAGGAATACTGAGTTCTCCAATTACAATTGTGGGTTTATCTATTCTTCCTTTTGCTGTGTTTATCAATTTGTAGCACTGCATATAGAACCATCAAAGTTCTCTTAGGACACTAAGAAAAATAATGAAAATATTTACCCATACTTTTTTATTCTTTCCCTTGTTCTTTTCTTCCTTCCTGATGTTGCAATTTTCTTTCTTTTATCATATCTTTTCTATTTAGTAATTTCTGAATTCTTTTTAGTTGGGCCACAGATTCTTTTAGCTCTCCTTATCTGGGATATCTTACTTTCTGGGATATCTTACTTTCCCAACTTCATTTCTAAAGAATATCTTCACTGGATATAGTATTCTTGGTTGACAATTCTTTGTTTTGAGGGCTTGAAAAATGTTCCAGTTCCTTTTGACCTCCATGGTTTATTATGAGAAATTTGCTGTTATTTTAATTGTTCTCCCCTTCCAAGTAAAAGCAATGCTGTTAAGAATTTTTTTTAATAGCTTTAGTTGTATGGAGTCTGCTTATTACGTGTCTTGGCATAGATTTCCTTGGATTTATTCTGTTTATGATTTGCTGAACTTCTTCAATTTATGTCTTTTTCCAAGTTTGGGGAAAATTCAGACATTCTTTGAATAGTTTTTCAGTCTCACCCTCTTTGTGCTCTCTTTCTGGTGCTCTGATGATACAAATGGTCAATTTTTAATTATGCTCCCACAGATCTTGAGGCTATAATTTTTTTTCAACCTGTTTTCTTTGTTATTCAGAGTGGATGATTTCTATTGCTCTGTCTACAAATTCATGGATTCTGTCCTCTGCCCTCTTCACCCTGTTGCTGAACCTACCCAGCGAGTTTTTATTTTGGTTTGCAAATTTCACTTTATAAATTTCTACTTGATTTTTTCTTTATAGCATCTATTTATTTGCAAGACTTTAAAATTTTAATTTATTGCATTTTCCCCCCCATACTTGTTCACTGAAGCATTTTTGTGATTGTTGCTTTATGATCGTGGCAAATTATTCCAACATTTATTTCATTTGGGATAAAGCATCTATTCATCATTTTTAAAATCCAAGTTGTGATCTTTCTGCTTCTTGGTATGATGAGTGATATTTTTTTATATGGTGCAGAAATTTTTGGTACTCTGTTATGAAATTTTGGGTTTTATTTAAGTCTTTTGTTTTAGCAGGCTTTCTCTTAGCTATATTACTGGTAAAGGTTTGTGGAATGCTGCAAGGTAGGACTAATTTCCTCAATTAATGTCATTGACAAGCTGGTATGTCAAAGTTCAACCTCCTGCCTAGATCTCTCTTTATACTACTTGACTGGGGAGGGGTGTTGTGCCTTACCACATGCCTTCCATGGGACCTGCAGTTAAAAACCCATGTGAGTTTAGCCTTTTCTGTTTGATGATGGTGATTTTATTACACCTTTCCTTTCTTCTCTAGTTTGCTGATGTGGTCATTATGTTGATTTTTAGTTTAATTCTATCATCCGAAGAGATTTTAGCCACTTTTAACTTGTTGATGTTTGTTTCATGGCCCAGGTTATAGTCCATTTTGGTGAATTTTTCCTGTGTGCCTGAGAAGTAAGCTGCTGTAGGGGTTTATGTTCCATAGCTGCTGGCTAAATCATGTTCTTGTCACAAAAATCTCTGGCTCATTTTCTATATTCTTAATTTTTGTCTGTTCATTTTTTGATGAATGAGAAAGATGTCTCCTAGTTGTGGATTTATCTATCCTTTAGTTCTGTTTTTGCTTCATGTATTCTGAAATTCTGTTGTTTGGTGAATACACTATTAGAATTATATGCTAAATTGGCATTTTGTCATGATGTATTGATGTATCTTTTCTCATCTCTGATAATATTATGTATTTTGAGATCATTTTGTTTACTTTTAATTAATATAGATATTTCTGCTTTGTTGGGGATTATTGTTTACATGGGATAGTTAAGTCCAGTTTTTACTCTTAGTATATTCATGTCATTATAGAGTGGTTTCTCTTTCAAACACAAATAGTTGAGATTTCCACTTTCTTCCAATTCTCTTCTGATTGAAGTTTTAAAAAGATTTTCTGTTGATGTACTCATAGAGCTAAATTTAGGTTTACTATCTTGCAAGTTCTTTGTTATTCACTCCACTTGTTCTTTGTTCCTTTCCACCTTTTTTTTTTTGCCTTTGGAATAAATTTGACTTCTAGAAAGGCTACCTTTTATGTATGTTATTAGTTCATCAGTTATGCTTATTTTGAAAGTTTTTAATTGCTTCCCTGGCCCATATAGTGTGTGTGTGTGTGTAATTTATATTGTCTATCTTTAAGTAAATAGTACATATTTTTACGAGTAACACAAGAAACTTTCACTGGTATTCCTCACATGCCTCTCCTTATCACTTGTGCTTTTGTTGTAGATTTTACTTTTAAGTGTTATGAACTCCTTAACACATTGATACTATTTTAGCTTTAGATAGTTCGCTATATTTTACAATGATTAAAAGGTCCTTTCTATTTATTTTTACCATTTCCTTAGATTTTTATTTCTTTGTGTAGATCCAGGCTTTTCTTATCACCCAAGTTAATTTTCCGACAACATGAGATAATTTAGTAGTGATAGCATTATAAAATTATTCTATTATCTTTTTAATAAGGAGAGTAAATTAAGTGACAAAGGACAAAAAGAAAAGGACCAACCTACTGAAGCACCAAAGACAGAGGAACCACCTGGACTTCGTAAATCTGTTGGTTTCCTAAAGAACACACCAGACAAGAACAAAATCAATCTGGTGAAGAGTCACCTGACCAAGAGATTGGAGCCGAGTCTGAAGTGGATAGCCACTGTTAATGTAAAAGAGTATGTGGATGTTTGCGATGGGAATTCCAACATCTCTGTAGTAACCACATCTGCCAAACTTTTCACTTAACTATTTTGTAGTAGAAAAGTACAGAATAGATATTTCTACCTCCCTTCATAATCTAAATCAGTTCCTTCCTGCTCTTCTTTATATACCAAAAAAGAAAATTTCATATTCTTTATATTTGCATACTTGCTGGGGGTGAGGTGGAAGCAGGAGGCTCTGGTGAAGGGATAGGATAGGAAAAACACAGTTCAGTCTCATGTGAGTTTGGGCACATAATAACGTGAGACAATCAGAGAGGAAATAGAAATGCAGCATTAGGGGCCTGGCTAAATAGGGGCTGGGAGAGTTTGGAATGATTGAAATTATGTGAGGTTCATTAATATGAGCCCTTTATATTAACAGAATGTTGAGTGTTTAAGTATATACTGCAAGAGGACTACAGCCTCAAAAATATTAACCACCTGAAGTAGAGCAGGTCCTGGTTTGAGGAATGTGTGAAATCTACAAAACTAGTTCCATTTAGGACCCTCTATTAAGAGGTGCCAAAGCGAAGATGAAGGGCTATAGTGCTACAAACGCTGAGTCAGTCAGAAGCACCTAACACATTTTTTTTTTCTTAACACATTTTTTAAAAACAGCAAACAGGCTTACAAGTTTCAGCCTATTTTTGATGTTCAGTGTAGTGACCTGATTGGGTTCAAAACTGGTCACTGGCTGGTCTGGAACAGGTCTCCATGGGTTCTGAGAAACTTTCCAATGCTGGATGCACTTCACACTGATTTAATGAAAACCCACTCAGTGCCAAAGACCCTTTAGACTCTGCAGCATTGTCAGGCAGGGAGATAAGAAAATAGGCCATTTTCAGCCAGGGCTGTGTACACTCAAAGGCTCAGAATGAAGGATTTCCATGCCACTGGCAGCCTGTGAAACCTATTCCTAAAACAAAGAAATTGTGGGCAAGATCTTTCTTCCTTATATCAAACACACGGTTGTGCTTGGAGGACGAAAGGGCCATCTCAGGTATCAGGACATTGGAACCCATAGGCATTCTCTGCCGTCTCAGAAAAGCCACTCTATGCATGCTCAAAATGTTAGAATTTTTTTTGCATTCATTTCTATTTTTATTTTCCTGTTGATCAGCATAAAGTAAATAATAGTCAATACTTTTTCTTTTTTAGTCACAAAAGTTCGGTACGAGCCAGCCAAGAAGAAAAGCATGCTGGGAAGCCTGAAAGGTCAAAATCCATCGGTTCATCTGGAAGACCTCAGTTAGTTCGGTATGTTTTGTTGACATGACCAGTTTTTTTTTTTTTTTTTTTTTTTAAAGATTTATTTATTTGTGCATACAGAACTGGGGTACAGGCCAGAGGCTCAGGGGCGGCGAGAGGCTTCACCAGAGACAGAGTGGGGAACAGAACAGGCAGATCGACGAAGTACACTGCTGAGGGGAGCAGCAGGTGTGTCAGGAGAGGTCTGCGATGCCATGTGGTCACCTCCGGGGCAGGCGGGAATCGAACTCATGCAGAGGCGGCTTTAGATTCTCAGTGATGTGCTTCAACCCGCTGCGCCACCAGGGAGGGCCAACATGACCAGTTCTTAAAGACAGTTTACACGACAGGACATTTCATGTTAGTTGCTATGCTTCTTCTTTTTTATTTTATTTTATTTTTTTTAACATTTATTTATGTATACAGAACTGGGTACAGGCCAGAGGCACAGGGGTGGTGAGAGTATTCACTGGAGGCAGGGCGAGGAGCAGAACAGGCAGATTGACAAAGTACACTGCTGAGGGGAGCAGCGGGTGAGACAGGAGAGGTCTGCCGCACCATGTGGGTCACTTCCAGGGGTGGGGATTGAACTCATGCTGCAGTGGCTGTTCATAGCCTCACAGTGCAAGAGAACCAGTCCCTTGTACCACCAGGGAGCCCCACTACTCACTAGTCTATTAGATGTCTGTGTCATCTACAGTAGAGCTACCCAGAATGAGGTAAAAATGAGAATAGTGAGTTTCTTCAAATCCATTTAAAGATAACCTTTTCATGTAGAATTACTTGACATACAGGGACTACTGAAATTGGTGAACCCCACAAAAACAACTGAATTTACTGCAAAGAGCAGTAAATTAACTGGTAGGAAAATTAGACTCTTAACTTGTCTGTGGTCTCTGAACAATCATGTGATGGCAAAGTCAAATCGTATTTCTGGACTCACTCTTCTGACCACCAGTGGCTTGCCACCTCTGAAGTGATATACATTGTTCCTGAAGTGATATACAGCCCTAGCAGAGTGCTCACTAACTTACTCAACTTTCAATTTGACAACAAAAATGACATCTTTGGAGAAGGTCAGCTACTCTGATCAAGGGTTCAAAGTGGTGGTGATAAGAAATGACAGAAATTTCACATTACTCTCTGCTCTCTTGGCAACAACCAAACTCTAAGACACAGAACTATGGGTATGCATTTGGGGAGTTCAATGTAATAAGCTATTTCATTTGACTTTTTATTTACTTTTTACTTTGAAGGAATTATAGATTCATAGACAGTTGCAGAGATAGTAGAGAGAAGGTTCATATAGCCATCACCAACTCTTCCCTAATGATGGCATCTTGCACAGCCGTAGCACAACATCAGCACTAGGAGATTAACATTGATAGAGTGTATATGTCTTGTTCCCTGTTGTTTTATCCTATGGAAATATTTATGACCATGTAATTAGGATACAGGACCCTGTGAAGCACCCTCCTATTACCTTTAATTGTCACACCTGCTCTCCTTTCACGGCATCGTTCAAGGCTACCATTCTATAATTTTGTCACTTTAAGAATATCATATAAGTGAAGCATACATTGTTAATATTTTTTTATTTATGATGAATTTATTTATTTATTTATAATAGTTTACTTTTACATCATTTTGTACATTTTTTTTATCTCAATTGTAATCCCCGTGTGTTTTCCATCACCAAGTCACCCATGTGTGATCACCATAATCCCGTGCACTTCTCTCCCCCCACCATTTTTGATCCCATTCCCCACTCCACCCCCACAAAATGTCTGTGGCATATGGCTGTTGATTATTCTTATTATTTTCTCGCCTGGTCCATTATACTCCTGCTATGAGCGAAACCATCCAGTATTTTTCTTTTTCTTTCTGGCTTATCTCACTAAGCATCATCTTTTCCATTTCCATCCATGTTGCTGCAAAAGACATGTGTTTCTTTTTTTGGTTGCTGAGTAATATTCCATTGTATATATGTACCACATCTTTTGAATCCAGTCATCTACTTTTGGGCACTTGGGCTGTTTCCATGTTTTTCCTATTGTAGATAAAGCAGCAATAAACATGGGGGTGCAGGTATCTTTTTGAATCAGTGGTTTTGTGTCTTTTGGGTAGATACCTAGGAGTGGGATTGCTGGGTCGTAGGGAAGCTCCATGTTAAGCAGTTTCATTGTTAATATTTTTTAATCACCATAGTCCTTTTGAGATATTTTGAAGTCGTCGTATACCTATTGCTTGTCCCTTTCTATTGCTGAGTAAAATTCCATGGTATGAATGTCCCACTGCTTGTTTAATTATTCACCCATGAGGGAACATTTTAATTGTTTGCAGTTTTAGCCACTAAAAATAAAGCTGCTATGAGCAGTAATACACAGATCTTTGTATGAATGTAAATTTTCATTTCTCTAGGATAAATGCCCAGTGCTGACACATATGGAAATTTTGTGTTTAGCTTTTTAAAAAGCTGTCACATTTTTTCCCTGGAACTGTACCATTTTACATTCTCACCAGTGATTCTGTAAGTGACTTAGTTTCTCTGCATCCTCAGCAGCTATTGGTATTGCTGTGTTTTTAATTTTAGCTATTCTATAAGATATATAATGACATCTCACTGTGGTGTTAGCATTTCCCTAATGGCTCATGGTGTTGAACAACTTTCACAAGCTTACTGCCCTTCATATGTTTTGTAGCTAAAAATCTCTTTGTCTTTCACTCCTTTCTAATTGGATCATTTGCTTTTTTAGAGGTTGAGTTTTGAAAGTTCCTTACGTATACTGGGTAGCCTTGCTTGAATAGGCACTTGCAAATACTCTCTCTGTCTCTCTGTAAACTTGTCTTTTATTCCTCTTAATAGGGTCTGTCATAAAGCAAGTTTTTATTTTTGATGAAGTCTAACTTATCAATTTTTTCTTACATTATGGGTCATTCTTTAGGTATCATGTCTAAAAACACTGCATGAAACCCATGGCTCTGAAAACGATCTCCTATGTTTTTTACAGAAAGATTTTACAGCTTACAATTTATATCAAAGACTATATCCTACTTTGAGTTTCCACCTTTGAATTGCTTGGCATTTTGGTAAAAAATCAGTTGGGTATACTAGTGTGCAGTTATTTCTGGGTCTCCAGTCTGTCCCTTTGATTTTCAGGTCTCCCTTTTGCCAGTACCACAGTCTTGATTACTGTAGCTAAGTAGTAAATCTTGAAATCTGGTAAAGTGATTCCTCTCACTTTACACTTAACAAAATTATTTAACTATACTAACATCTTTTATTTTCACATAAATTTTAGAGTAATCTTACTATACCTACAAAAAAACTTATTGAGGATTAGAATGGAATTTGCATTAAACCTTTTTTTATGCAGGCAACCTATTTATAATACTTTGTGTAATTTAAAGTCATACAACATACTTCCTCAGCACATCTTCCACTGAGACATCCTCAGCCCTCCACCGTAATCCATGATGCCTCTGCTTTCTCCACTTTTGTTAATGAATTGTCCATAGATGTTTGGGTGTATTTATGGGCTCTCAATTCTATTGCATTGGCCTGCATGTCCATTTTAATTCTCCTACGATACTGTTTCATCACCAGAGTTTTGTAGTATAGTTTGAAATCTGGGATTATGATGGCACTGCTCGCTCTCTTTTTTGTAAGATTCAGTGTCTTTTGTATTTCTATATTGATTTCTGTATTGTTTGTTCCATTTCTCTGAAGAATACCACTGGAGTCTTGGTAGGGATTGCATTGAATCTGTATCTTGCTTTGCCATTTTAAGAATGTAATTCTTCCAATCTCTGAGTAGGGAATATCTTCCCATTTCTTTGTTTCTTTTAACAATGCCAAATAGTTGTATTTGTTGAGCTCTGTCATCTCTTTTAAGTTTACTTCTGTGTATTTAATTCTTTTTATTGTAATTGTAAACGAGACTGTTTTCTTGGTTTCTACTCTTCCAACTTGTGTTTGCATATAGAAACACAACTGATAATCTGCAAATTGATTTTTACCCTGACACTTGACTATATTGAGTTCATGCTTTTATATACTATAAATATGTGATATATGCATCATATCTATATTACATTTAGATATGTTATTTGTTTTTAGAGTATTCATGGTTTCCTGTGTATAGTATCATGCCACCTAAATAGGATAGTTTTACTTTTTCCCAATATCTTTTTTTTTTGTCTGATTGCTGTAGCTACAACTTCTAATATCATGTTGAATAGTGGTGGTGAAAGTAGACTTCCTTGTCTTGTGCTTGATCTTAGGAAAAGCTTTCAATTTTTTACTATTGAGTATAAACAAGTTGGCTCTTGTTTGTAATACATTATGTTCAGCTATGTTCCATGTAGCCCCTGTTTTTTGAGTAATTTTTACCATAAATAGATGTCAAATTTTATCAAGTGCATTATTTGCATCTATTAATATGATCATACAATTTTTCCATTTTTTAAAAAAATTCGTGTGGTGAATTATGTTGACTGATTTTTGGATGTTGAAACAACTCTGTTCCTGGGATAAATCTTATGTGGTCATGATGCATAGCCATTTAGATGTATTGTTAAATTAGGTTTTCTGTGATTTTTGTTGAGTTTTACATTGTGTTCACATGGATATTGTTCTTTACTTTTTGCTTATGCTTTTATCAGGTTGACATCAGTGCAATGATATCTTCTTAAAATGTGTTTGGAGCATTCTTTCTGTTTTTGGGAAGGGTTTCTGAAGTATAGGTATTAGTTCATCTTTGATGATCTGGTAGAACTCAACAGTGATATTGTTGCTGTGATGATGAAAGCTGTCTAGCATAATTGCTACTTGCCACTACTTAATTCCCTTGTTTATGTCTTACTGTTTTCTTTATTGACATTGTACCCAGAATAATACTACTGACCTATACCTGCTATAGAGACAAGGGTTTGTTAATCTTCTCTCACAGATCTTAGGAAGTATGTTCTAAACCTTAGTAAATATATATATCCCTGCTTATGTACCTGTTGCTGAAATATTAACACAACCATGTCCATATGCTGAAGCATAAATATATTTCCTGTGTGATGACATTTTATTGTCATTGTCATTCTTAGTAAGAGTGCTGAGAAGATTGAGGAAATTATTAGTGAGAGTTCCTCAGAGAGTGAGGAAGATGAAGAACCACCTGATCACCGACAGGAAGCAAATGCAGATTTGCCATCAGAATATTGGCAAATTCAGAAACTGGTGAAATATTTGAAGGTAAGACAGACCTTTTGTACCCTTTTTGCAGAGTTTGCTTTCCTAAAATGTATACTTGGCTTCCAACTTTATTATATTTCTTTCTATGAGGCTGGTCCTTACCCCTGCTATTATTTAAGCATGTAAGGGGTAATGCTCTGGAACAGCCAGTCTTCTATGACTGTGGACAGACAGTGGCCATGGCAGCCAACAACAGTGGTTTTTAGTGCAGTGTGGCAAAGAGCATGGTATCTCGAAGTTGGGCTTAGACTGATTTTTAAAAAGATTTATTCATATATGCATACAAGAACTGGGGCACAGGCCAGAATTCACCAAAGACAGATTGGGGAGCAGAACAGGCAGATCTACTGAAATACATTGTTGAAGGGAGCAGTAGGCGGGTCAGGAGAGGTCTGCTGTGCCATGTGGGTCACTTCTCTGGCCAGGGGTTGAACTTGTGCTGCAGTGGCTGTAGATAGCTTCATAGTGCTGCACTTTAACCTGTTGCTCCACCAGGGAGAGCCTACATACAAATATAGTTTTAAATTATTCCTTAACAAAATTTAGGGGAAAAACATAATAAGAATTTAGAAAGGAAATACTGACAGTGGGGTCAAAAAAGGCATCAAGGAAAGTAGGTGCCATGGTGTGGTCAGTCTGCTTTGCTGGTCACTTCCACACCCTGCAGGTATGTTTGTTGCTAGCAGTGAGTATTCCTTCATAAACACATAGCGATGAGTTTATAGGCACAGAAATACATCCTATTAGTGGTATTTCAATGCAAAACACATTTTGGAAAATCATTACATTTGAAATTTCAGCCTTGTCAAGCTCGCTGGGAGAGCTGAACATTCTATGTGTTGATATTTCGTGTTTAAATATTTGCATTATTATAGATATTGTGTATTGCACAAAACTTGTTCTTCTTAAGTAACTTACCAGCAGATGTGCAAAGAAAAGATGTGGCTGTGTGTTACAGAACATTCTATCATGAAACCAGAAACTGATCAAAAATCTGAATTAGCAAAAATAGCATAAATTTCAATGGCCAAAGCAGACACAGGGCAAGCAGAGAAACTCTCTTGTCAGTAAAATATGAAATGAACTTTTATGAAGCAGATCCTAATGTCCATCTGGACGCTGCTTTTGGAAGCCTCTTTACAACGTGACCAATGTCCATACAAAATTAAAGAAATTTTTCATTCACATCTGGAATTTTTGTCATGAAACAAAAATAAAGACAGTGTGTTAGGACAGTGAATGCTTTGTGTATTTTAAATTTCATCTTAAGAATAAGGTGAATAGTAAATATTTTTACATCATCTTTCAGTGTTTAAAATGGCGTTTCTGTGGCCCTCATTAACGTGCGTCAATGTTCCTTCCTTCGATGCTTTCTGTTACCAAGTATCAGGTGGGGCTCATTTCTACACTTTATTGCAGTATCATTTTTCTCTTTCACATAAAGCCTCTGAAATCTTTAATGTCTCTAACACAAAAATTGATTCACCTTTTTGATATTGTGGCAATGACGCACTATTGCTGTCATGCTTATGAGAAGAAAATGTAGGAAACAGTGATGAATAGCGCATGATTTCAGGCATTACCTTAGGATACCTGGGGGTTCCAATTCTGTGTTCCAGAAGCTTGAAGACTCAGCTCTTTTGGGATTTGGAAGCACTTAAAGTGGAGCACTGGGTGGAGTTCGTCCCGCGCACGCCCTTGGGTGTGGCCTCGTGCACAGGGCGCAGGGCCGGCGGACCACCCAGCTCACACAGCGCCTCAGTGCAGAGACCTTCCCACAGCCCCTCGAGCCGTTACATCCACTGATGTCCACTGACATTGGAGAAGGGACTGACAAGAGTCCTTTGCTCCCAGCACTTGAGAAGCTTGAGCACATGAACAGGGAGGCTCAGACATGTTTTTGCTTTTGTTTTTTTAAGGAAGCTGGGAGGATAACTGTTCTTTATCCAAAGAATTCAGATCTATTAACTTCATTTTATTAGTGAAAGTAAAGAGTCAAAGATGGTAGAAACTTCTTCAGGGGGACCAGGAGCTAGAGGATAGAGCAGTTGCAAGTGTGGACTGGGATTCCAGAAAGTCTTCAATGGAGGTAGGTTTGTGCCACTGACACAGGCAGTGGCCTTGGGAGCTGATGGACTTCTGTAACTAGCAGGACCTCACTGGGCAGGCTGACACATGCAGCTTCTCACAGGCTGGGATTATTAAGAACATGAAGTGAAATCTAGCCAAGTCCTCAGTCCATGTTGGCAATGATCATTATTCCTGTTGTATGTTGTCACTATAGAGAATGTAGGACATGGTGTTCTGCTAACCCACCCTGCTGCCCTCCACTTCTGCTTTAATTTTTGTAGCAATCACTAAGGGCCGGGAAACATAGTGAGTTGGTACATTGAGGGACAGACGCTTAGCATCATAAGATATAAATAACCCTGTTGTAAATGAGTATAACTAATCTTGGTGCTAAGAGCAAAAGAATTTTCTCCCTGAGGACTTAATGGGGCAAAAAGCGAACAACCTACTCAATAATATCTTGACACTGACGATGGCAGAGAAAGTCCCTTCTAATATTCTAATTACTGAATAACTATCTAGAGTTTTTTGAACTATTTACGGTAAGTCTATAAATTTTCAGTCAGAAAGGGATGCACTATTTCTGTCCCAGAACAGCTAAGGAAAACATTTATTGATGAAGTGTTACTTAAGCTCGCACAAGTTATTCACTAATAAATCATGTGCAAATGTGATACTTTTGGCCAGACAGTAAATTGCTTGGAATTATTATAGTTCCCACAGGTAGATAGTCTTAACATAGCCAGTGAAAAAGTATATCGCTAAATGATTTCAAGGTTTCTGACACAGATAAGTGTGTGATATGAAGACTCAAAAGGGCATGAAAAATCTGTGAAATGCATAATTGGATGTTGCTAGCTAACCTCAAAATAACTACACCTGACATTTTAATTTTTAAAAGATTATATCTTACGTGTAGAATTAAACTAGCAGAGAAATGTTAATGTTGACCTGACTTTCTACTTAACCATTTTCCAACTACAGCAATGTCTGTGATTGTTGCATAAAATTTGATGGGCTCATTAATACCCAAACTGGTCAATGAACTACAGCTTATTATTTATCCAGAGTCATGAGCTCAGATCTTGGCACATAGGAGGAGGGAGTTTGCATTTAATTATTTGACTTTGATATATGCTCACTTTAACTTGCAATTTTTATATGTGTAATAGTCTTTGAATCTGAATGTGTAAAACACAGCTTAATTTTTTTTTTAAAGATTTATTTATTTATGCATACAGAACTGGGGTACAGGCCAGAGATGTGGAGGGTGAGAGGCTTCACCAGAGACAGAGTGGGGAGCAGAACAGGCAGATCGAGGAAGTACACTGCTGAGGGGAGCAGCGGGCGTGTCAGGAGAGGTCTGCCACGCCATGTGGTCACCTCCGGGGCAGGCGGGAGTCGAACTCATGCGGAAAGCCGTCTTAGATTCTCAGTGCTGTGCTTTAACCCGCTGCGCCACCAGGGAGGGCCTTAATTTTTTTTTTTTAAAGATTTATTTATTTGTACATACAGAACTGGGGTACAGGCCAGAGGCTCAGGGGCAATGAGAGGCTTCACCAGAGACAGAGTGGGGAACAGAACAGGCAGATCGAGGAAGTACACTGCTGAGGGGAGCAGCGGGCGTGTCAGGAGAGGTCTGCCACGCCATGTGGTCACCTCCGGTGCAGGTGGGAATCAAACTCATGCGGAAGGGAAGCAGCTTTAGATTCTCAATGCTGTGCTTTAACCCGCTGCGTCACCAGGGAGGGCCACAGCTTAATTTTTAAATTAACGAATATGTTGCCTTTCTACTCCCAGCCTCCCAACTTTTCTTGTTCCTCAGGGCTGATGATTCTATATCCTAATTCTAAACTCATCAATAAGCTCCCTTCTCAGCTCTCTTAGTGAGAAACACATTTTGTGTTCTATGGTCCTTGTGGTCCCACTCGTCTGTCCTGTCAGCTAGACCTTGTATCCCTACATTCATTCTGGGTGTCTCTCTAAGAAGAGAATCAAATCTCTCTTCTTGCTAAGTAAGGTATGTGGAGAAAACCCCTTCTTGAAATGGTAGGTAAGTGGGTGGCTTTTTGCTTGGAAAAGTGAATTTATGAGTCACGTGTATTATAGAGTATAAAGGAATATTCTATTTGACAGTGGAGATAAATTGATCATAGAAGGAGAGTCGCATTTCATACTTACGTTGATGTAAGTGACCTTAAGCTGAAGATTTTCTGGACCCAAGGTTGAAAGCCTGTTGAGATTCTTTTGTATGTGGATTGAAGGTGGATCAAGCATGCACTATAAATCACAGGATCAGAAAATGCAAGAGAAAATTGAAGAGTGAGGCCAGGAAAGGTTGGTCTGTCTATAGGTGGTTTGGAGGGCCTCAGAGACTGGGTTAGAGTTAGTCATTGTCTTCCCTGTAGGTACTTCCAAGGTCTGTCACTTGAGGATGAAATCTACCCTGTCTTGTCATCAACTCCTCTTTGGCAATGTTAGTGAGCACATTTGGAGATGTCTGCCTCTCCTCTCCATTTATCTGGCTTTATCCCAAGTGTCTGCTGCAATAACGGAGGAGATAGGGTTAATTTCTTCAGAAACAGGGGATACCTGTTTCTGCCCCTGAGCTTTTGATCAAAGGCCAGCTGAGGCAGTGGGCTGGTGAAAGCATGGAGAGAAAGCTGTCCAGTGGAGGTAGCATGCAAAGCAAATTCCAGCGGGACAATATCGGAGGCCCATGACTAGGGGTTGTGTGACTAGAGAGGATGTGTGTGTGGGAGGGGGGAGGGTTGGAATAGGGTAGTATCCTTGGAGGTAGCAAGGAATGACGAAGAAAGAAGGTGGCCAGTTTACAAGGAAGGTTTGTGGCAAGTTAAGTTTGAAGAGAGGGAGAATACAAATATCAATAGAAATGCCCTTATAACAGCTGAAAATAAAGAAATGGGATT